GCACACATTTGGTCAAAGAAACCACTTCACTTGTCTCTTTGACGAGTGGTTGGGCGGTGCTAAGACTGGCTAGGCTGACTGACGATGCCGACGAAAAGTCTGAGAATGTACCAAGTCCACGGTCCGACTCTGGAAATGTTCATGCTTACAATGGACAATGCCATCGTGACCAAGTTGCGAGAACAAGGACAAACAACTTGTCTGCAACGAAAGGAGACCAACAGCATACAAGAGGCCACACCACCCTGGTCTTCACATCTTCGCTTTAACTGTCAAGTTGGACCGAATGCTTGTGTCTGTACCAAACCGTCGAAGGCGTTCTGTCTGACAAGGACATGAGCACAATTTGTGTATGCATTTTGTGGTTTGTCTGAGCAACTCTGACTTGGGCTGGGCACAACATGAGCAAACCGACTAAGAGCAGAAGTGACGAAGGACGAATAGTTGCTATTTGCTACAATGGTACCCTTTTGGGTTGCTGGTAGGACCGATGCGAGGTGGAAACTGCCCTCCGCTTCTGTCTGGATGAGGATACCCTTTTGGCAGGAGCAAGGTCATGTGAACTCGAATGGAAACGCCGCTCTACTCAAATCCGATTGTGGCAACAATCAGCTCCCAGTCGGCCTTGACCGGCTTACTCGAAAGAGGGTGAGTTCAACTCATAAATCTGCTAAATCTAATAAACTGGCAGTCTCGAAGACCGGCACTCACTTTGGAAACAATCGCACACAAGTCAGCCTTACTTGGCAGTGCAGAGGAGAGAGACAATTGCGGCGCACCCATCGCACGTTTTGGTAGAGCCGACGTTGAGCAGTCGTCAGCGTCGACAGCATTGGCCTCGCTTCTATCGGCTTCAAGCAGCACCGCTCCGACGGTCCGACGGTCCGACTCTGCCCTCTTCACGGACTTGACGATTTGGGGCTGGTTGTGACTTGGCAGAGCGCCACCGTCAGACCGCCACGAGGACGGCTTTGTCGGTCATCGACTCTGCGACTGATTGTGCACATTTGAGCACAACCATTTCTGCCTATGCCTGCCTGCCTGTCTGTCTGTCTGTCAGTCTGTCTGTATGTCTGTATGTCTGTATGTCTGTCTGTCTGCCAACACACGCACAGATCGACTCCACTTGTTGAGCACACTTGCACAATCAGCTCTTTTCCTCCTCCTCCTCCTTTCGGCCACTCTACACACGCACACTCGCTTCTGTGCCACCCTCCCAGACCGAGTACACACTCACACTCAGCCAAAGTAGTAACGCCAACGCCAACGGCAACGTAACGGCGACGGTGACGGCGACGGTGACGGCAACGGCGACGGCAACTACGGCGCCAACGTGCGCGTTGTCTTGTCAGGCCACGACTGAGCGACTGGCAGAAAAGGTAGTCGGGCGGAATGGGTGCACTTTTGAGTTGTCACTCTCTCGCCTCGTGTGAAAGTGTTGCCGAGAGACGGCTTCTACAGACGTGGTCTCGCACAGCCTCTGCGACTGGCTCTCGTCGAGTGGGGTCGTGGAGCGCCGGCAGCAAAGGCCTCGCGTCCAAGCCGCGACGGAAGCTGCGCGACATGACGTTGAGACGATGCCGCTTGGAGCTCGTGCGTTGGCTGCTTCGGAAGCTGACGAGATCTTCTTCCCGATCCGACGCGCAGCGACAACCTCCGTCCATCCAGAACCGGAGGCAAGGCGGACCGGCTCGAAAGGGTACGTCGAAACGAGCCAAGCAATGCAGGACACGATTCTGGCTGCTTGCGCCCGGCTCAAACGAAAGGAAGAAAGCGGGGCTCATGCAAGAGAACGTCTCGATGCTTCTGAAAAGATGCGCCGACTGCTGAACCCAGAATACGCGTGCTCGGACAAATCTAACTTGGAAAGTGGGCGCAGGTCATGCCTGAAGGCGATCCCTTCCAGCACTTTTCTGTTCAACCCGCGCTGGCGAAAGGTCTCGGTATGTACCGTGTCGATGGTCCGTGGCCGAAAAGTAGCATGACTACTCGGACCGAGGACGCAGTAGGACTGGGCAACTTCTACTCGGTTGCCCTGTCGCACTGTCGCCCTGTCGCCCGGACCAAGTTACCAAAACGAGGTCCAACCAACAGAATGTTTGGAAAAAGAGAGAAAGAGGCTCCTCGTCAAATGGTCGAAATTGAGTTATGGTGGAAGAAACGATCAAATGTTTTTCGCATTTAATTATTCTTTCGAGACTATCAGTAAATCAGTAATATGGCATGTATTTACCCAATTTCGTGTAAGGTGATGAAGGACTGGTAGAAGATTTTTCCCACAATGAAAACGTCAGCTCTACTCACATCATTGTGGGAAAATGCTTCTAACAGTCTTTCAATACCTTAAACGAAATAGGGTGGATACATCTCAGATTAAATGTTTTCTTGATAAAGTAGATCATGAGGCGTCTAGAGGATTAAAGAGGAATAAACAAGTTGGATCAGATAGAGTCGGGAAATGATATATTCTGCAGTTGGATATGACCATTCCAGGAGTCACTACGACGCCATCCCACAGAGGCATAAGCACCACCCTGGTTCACTCAACTCTTTTCTAAAATGGGCAATAAAAGTGATCAGATGCCTTAAAGCCTAGCTTCACACTGTGTTGGAAATAATATCTTTCAGTCGCAAATTCAATGGACAGTTGAAGACTCTCTTCGAGTTTCAGGTCTTTAAAGAGCAATTGGCCAAATTTGCATCCACTCCACAATCCAAACTGAACGGAGCTAGTCTAATTATTTCATTTTGTAACTATATACATTCGGCAAAAAAGTTTATCTGAGGTTTCCATTAGTTTCAAGTTGAATAAATGTGCTCGAATGTTGACTGGAAAATTTAGCTGACATTTATTC